GCATATTTCCCGACGCCGAACTGTTCCTTTTGATGTCGGCCATTTCTATGGATGAGTGTGTTCTGTGTGAAGCTTGCGAACCTCAAAAATGACTGCATGAAACCTCTGGCGGGCTTTTATTTTTACAATTCCACCTGCTGCTAGATCAGTGTTTGTCATGTGGGTGCAAGGTGCAGATGTTTCTGTCAAATATCAATTTCAGAACCAGATATTGCTGCAGGAGCGTGTACCAAAAACTGAAAAGCAAACCTCGCTCTCGGATATATCTAATCTGAGTCTTTTTCTGTCAGAGGGCTTGTGGGGGTGAAACCATTCTTTTCATCTTTTAGCATGAATAGTACAGCACTACATATACACACCCTGCTCCTCTCACACGTCACCATATGAACTCTGTCACAGTCTCCAGGATTGCTTTCTGTCATGCTGTGTTGTGAGACTCTTAAATCACATTTAGTTAGGAATGAAAACGCCTCCGCAGTGCAGTTTAATCCTCTGGATGTGTCAGTGTGTCCGAAAGCAAATTAGCATCTTGATTGAGATGTGGCCTCCTCATTCTCAACACTTCTGCTTACACATCACTGACCATAACCAGAGGAAGATGGAACATTATCATGTTAGCCACAGTATGCTTATAGTTTGAGGCTGTGTGTTGCCAATTATAGCAAGTGTTGACATGAATATGTCTTATCCCTCTGTTCTTTCTGGCTACTTTTGGTCTTTTTTTATCCTTACCTCCTGTCTTAATTCCTCACTACCTTCCTTCCTTCCACCCTGCCTCGCTTCATCTTTAATTGTCTATTTCTGTGTTTTTTTTGTTCCTTTCTTCCTACCTCCAACATCCTTCCTGCTGCAGACGTTTGACAAGTGTTTCCTGGGATCTTCTGAGACAGCAGATGCCAACCGTGTGTTCTGCGGCCAGATGGGAGCAGTGTACCTGTTTGGAGAGGCTCTCAGCGCTGCTCAGATCCTGGCCATCTATCAGCTGGGACCCGGTTACCAGGTTGGAAGCCATAAAACCCGAGATGTCTGTACGATAGAGACATACGTCAATTTACACAGTCAAATGATTCATTATATAGATCAAAATTACTTTTATAAAGCTGAAATCTGTATTTGTTTTATATACTGTATATGGAGGAGCATTTTAAAACGATAAAAGGATACCTTAATGGTTGGATAAGCTTTCCATTGTCTAATGAGACGTATTGATAAGATGTCATGTAACACCTGGCAATAGATTATATACGTTTGATGCAGGACTCCATCAGCAGTAAAGTGAGATGACGTATGCTCTGCCATATTTGCTGTAGTTTAAGGGCAACAACATATCGAAAGTCACGCAGCCTTAAATGTAAGCACGGTATTTTAAACTGTAATTGAAATGTTTTTATTTAATTTTTGAACTTTTAGAGCAAGTATATGCAAAAACACAAACAATAGACAACTATACACAGGCCGCCATACAATAGAGATGCAATGCAAAAACAAATTAAGGTTGCCAGAGGAGCAAATACTTGACACGTGTGGGAGAATTTGATAATGTCAAAATGAGAATACTAGTTAGTTTGTCTTTTTAATGTGTCATGACTGCATTATGTTCTCCTCCACTAAATGTCTCCCGCTTTCCTTCATCTACTTCCTTCTCTCCAGGGCACATTCAAGTACAAAGCAGAGAGTGACTTACTGTTTGCGGAGCATCATAAGACCTTGCTGTACGACGGCAAGCTATCTTCTTGTATTTCCTTCGCTTATAACCCTCGAGCCACAGATGCCCAGCTCTGCCTTGAGTCCTCCCCCAAGGACAACGCCTCCATTTTCGTCCACTCACCCCATGCACTCATGCTGCAGGTAATCATGCCTTTGTCGTAGCACTTGGTTGTATAGCAATTGATAGTAATTCATCTTGGAGTTGGAGTTGATATTACTAGGATTGACGCTTTTTGAAAATTGAACCTGAAGTCACCATGCTGACATTAAAGCAATGCCGGTGCAAATTCATTCGCCACCTGTACGCGTGCTCCTTTCCTCCCATTGTTCCATATGTACCACTCTTTACTTTTTTTTTTTTTTTTTTCTCCCCCTCCTTTGCGATAATGAAAGAGGCCCAGTTGGCATCTTTTCATTTTAATAGTCTCATTAGGGCAGAGGTGCAAAAGTGTTGAGCTAGCCAGACTGCTGCAGCTGCTGAAAAGTGCCATCCTGTTTTTTTTGACTGTGGAATTAGAGACTGAGGGTTTAGCTTATTTAGTTTACAAGTAGTTGTGCATTTCTCCTGTTAGATGTAGGTGGTGAACTTTGTGGAAATTTTCCATATGCTGCTTACAAATACACACACACACACACACACACACACACACACACACACACAACTATGTCTTTTCTGTAGCACTAATTGAGTTTTCTCTCATGCCCTCTCATCAAAGAACATTATTTGTGAGGGAGACGCACAACATATGCTTTCTCCACCACACAAACGTGCATGCTAACACACACACACACACAACTAAATGCCTGACCCTGACCGTACCTAAACCTTATTCTGACCCGAACATTAATACCAAGTCTGAACGCTCAAACAGGCTTTTGAAGGACTCCAAAGTGAGTACTGGCCAAAATATCCTTGCTTCACAAAGATAGCTGTACAATTGTCCACACACACACACACACACACACACACACACACACACACACACAGTGTGAAATATGAATGAATATGTGACCTATATTTTCAGCTTTGCTATGCCATGCTCAAAAATTCCAATCCTATAGAGAGGAAAATGTTTTTCCAAGCCTCTGTTGATGTCGCAACATAAAACAACAAGGACGCCAACTGACGCACCAGACTGCTAAACATTTAAAGCAAAAGAAAATCTTCCTACAAATGAAAACAAAACATTGTGATTTACCCTTTCAAGCATTGAGCATGTCTTTTGGCAATGGTTTGAGGACTGATTAGTGGTCAAAGATTCAAAAGGTCCATTGCAATTCGTGCCCGTTAGGGTAAAAAGCAGACTGTAGCGGCATGAAAAAAAGAATCACCGTTTGATTTGATTTTCACTGTGCAACTACTTGCAACTACTTTCAAATATGTCAACAAGATGGAACTAATTTAGTGCACGAAACTGTGATCATCAGAGCAAATATCTGTGTTGCCCACTTGTGTGTTTGTTCCTGTAGGATGTGAAGGCCGTGGTGACTCACTCAGTCCAGAGTGGCATACACTCTATCGGAGGCGTGCAGGTCCTCTTCCCTCTGTTTGCACAGCTGGATTATTGCCAGCCTTCCAGCCAAGAGCTGGACACCTCTGTCTGGTAACCACACACACATACACACACAAATACACTGTATGAAACATGTTGTTTTTTAAATTGTATCCTTCACCATCTCAGGATTTCATATTATGCATCAAGCCATGTGATATGCATGTAATAAACTCAGTATTATATTCGATTTATTACCGATGGCTTTTCAGGTAACACTACCGTCTGTCAACAATGATCAAATAGAGACCAACAGTAAGATTTTAAAAGCCGTTGCAAATTAGGTTTTGATGTAATGCCGAGCTTGGAAGTCGTGAGGCCATCTCTCTTATGAATTTGCAACGTTGTTGTATGCGCTGCCCTCAAGGTGATGCAACTAGAATCTGTCCTAACGCATTGGGGACACGAGACCCTCATTCAATCACGTTTCATGCACGATATGCCCTTCACAGTCAGGGCTTCGTCAGCAGCTTCCATAGATTATTGTCACTGTCTAACTCAATATCTCTCTCTCTCTGTCTCCGTCTGTCTGTGGGCCCTCTTAGCTGCACTTTGCTATCCTTTGTGATGGAGCTCTTGAAGAACTCAGTGGCTATGCAAGAGCAGGTCCTGGCCTGCAAAGGCTTCCTCGTCATTGGCTACACTCTGGAGAAGGTGAGACAAACACAAATGGGCTCAGCTGGCTCAGAAATACACGAGAGAGCCATCCTCCCGTACCAGTAGATGCACGTAATGAACACGGTGCAGTACTACAGTGATCTGGATTCCCTTAACGCCACAAACACACTAACACAGGCACACACCCACACCAACGCTTAATACGAGACAGACTTTGTTTTCCCTCAGCTGTATTTGGAGGTCACAGCTGGCTTGTGTACTTGTTAGGCAGAAGAGGAGCTCCTCCTCAGCTTTCTCTGCATGTGTCCTTTCCCTCTCCTTTTTGTGTTGCACCTCATTCACCCCTTCTCTGCTCTCCACGCCTTTTGACTCCTCACTGACAAATCACCCTCTCCTTTTTTTGTCTCTCCCCCCCCCTCCTATTGTGGCACTTTCTGTCCCCACCCTGTCTGTTCTCCAGTCTTCCAAGGTGCATGTGACGCGGCCTGTCCTGGACATTGTGCTGGCCTTTTCCAGATACCTTAGCAACTTGCAGAATGGCATCTTGCTGCTCAAGCAGCTGTGTGACCACATTCTGTTCAACCCTGCCATCTGGATCCATGCCCCTGCCAAGGTAATATGAATATATATATATACACACACACACAGCAGCACATTCTTATGCATTTGGTAATGTTTGTAGAGATGGAGATATACACATGTAGATAGGACACACGCATATCGGTTACAACATCCAGACGTGCGCACTCGCACAGACCTGCACTGTCGTCATCGCCCTCTCTTGCTCTGTATGGTCTTGTCCTACATTTTATTTTCAGTGTTTCAGAGTTCAGCTCAGATTTCAAGGTTTTCCCTCAACCTGTGACTCAGTGATTGCTATTTAAGTGAGAATGGCTTGTCTACAACCCTGAGGGGTTTAGAGGCTAGGACACACTAAAAACCAAATGATTCCACTCAAACTATCAAGTGTGTGTGTGTGTGTTCATACGTGCTTTTATCTTTTGCAGGTGCAACTGAGTCTCTACACTTACCTAGCAACAGAGTTCATCAGCACAGTGACCATCTACAACACCATCCGCAGGGTGGGCACTGT